CTGTTGCACCTGTGTCTGTACCGGCCTGAACACTCTCATATGTGGACATTTTTCTCAATGAAATATAGATGTTCATATTTTGTCAATAATTGGAATGTATCATTTGGCACTTTATGTTCTACAGGTAAACAGAAAACTAGATTATTGATACAAAGTTCATTATTTTCTGTGGTTCAACTAAATGTGAAAAAAAATTATGTTGAAATTCAATTGTTTTCTTGCTATAATTTCAATGTTATGAAAGTCCAAAATATGAACTTTTCCTGAGATGTTTCATTTGGGGTTTTTACCATGGACTGTAAATATTAATGACTGGAGGTAGTCACGCCTCTCTCCGCCGGCGAAACTAATGTGCCGTCACTTTTGCCTTCAGTGGGCTTTTTCAAAATGGCCGTGGGGCAGAAAAATGTGAAAAAACGCAATTGCTAGCCAACACGAGCCTCATTCATTTGATGAGTGCATTCAAAAGTCCACAGCGGCGAAACTAGACTGGTCCAAAAATAATTTGGACCAATAAGCATTGACAGCATCTGGAACGTTGGACCAAGAGCGACTTTTGGACCATCCTGTAAAGACGTTTTCAAGAGTAAAGAAGACGCCACGCAAAACCATTGGGTAATTCTGTTTCCGGGTACACCCCCACCGGCAAGGAGTGAGATTGCACCATGTCAGTGCACGTGCTCATGGACTTTTTGGAGCCGTGATACGCCCCCACTGGTTTTTTTTACAATCTGTGAGTCAATTATCATCATCCAAAAAATAAAATCTTGATAAATCTCACTTTGTGTGTTTTAAGTCTTTCAATAAGTTTCACATTCTAAGTTATTAAAGAAGCAAATGGATTTTTGAACGATAATTTCATAGTTTCACCTGTATACCATGGCAACAATACATAGTTCCCACATGACGTCACTACATACGGGGATTTGCCGACCCGGCGACATTTGTGTTGGCATTCTGTGGGAAAAACAATAGAAAAAGAAGCTGAAACGTGTTAATGTCGTGATAAAGTTGAAAATGGTCATCTCCTGCTGGGTCAATGGATGTTCAAATCGTGCCGGAGGTTCCGTTAAACTTGGATTTTACAGTATACCCATCATTAGACTTCATGAATGTGAGAAGACTAAGCTTTTGTCAGAACAACCATGGAGGTTATGGCTTGCGAAGATAAACAGGCAAGAAACTCCCTCAAAACACGCAAGAATATGCTCGGAGCACTTTGTGTCAGGTGCGTATCGTATCTTATAATGTGTTGACAGACGTAATTTACTCAGTACTAACTTGTGTATGCTGATAGCTGGTAACTTGAGAGTTTCATTATTTAGATTACTTTATTATGAGGAGGATCGGTGTCGCGTCCGAGGCTCTCGAGGGCAACGTAAATGTATTAAATAGATAATAATAGTTCTATGGTGGGCTAAAACAATGTTCACAAACAGCATTGCTTCTGTAAAAAGATCTGTGTCATAAAATAAACTGCTCTTTACGCCTGGAAAAATCAGTTGCCCACCATTCACCAAAACATACGGTCAAAAACGCGGAAATAAACAATAACAGCAATCCAGAGTGTCCGTGTGGCATTAGCATTAATTAAATTAATTGTTAATATAATTAAAATAATTAAATGGAGCTCCAACTGGTATTAAATCTAAAGTTTTTGAGAAATGTTTGCATTGCTTGTTAATTTTTGCTGCATAATTTGATCAAATATGTAAAACATGTCCGTAGCACGTTAAACTGTGGTGCCATTGTATTAATATACAATTATTTGCTCAAAAGTTGCCCTTTTTTTTCCAATTTGCGTTTGAATATCTACATTTATTCTCATTCTTCTGTTTAATGGAATGCACAAACACAGCAGCGTGCCATCAAAGATGGCGTCTCCGAGGAGGTCATGTGACATTCATTCGTCTGTGGGAACTATGTATACCGCTGTCATAAATTAGAAAATAATCCGATGCCTTCCTCAGCAAAAAACACAATTGGTATTTAACCTCCAACTACTTATACCAGTCCATCCTTTATCATTGAAGCAGTGACAAAGCAGAGTTTTGCCTCCTCCTCACATAACTCACTGTCACAGCATCCGCACTAAATCATTGACCAGTTGTCCGGCGGGCACTGACCCCTCCAGCTCTGTGCGAAGCCATTTTTCTGCTGATTTAAACAGCTTCAGGTCTCTATCAAACCATCCGAGCGTGGAAATGTGGGCCACGTATACCACAACATCTGCTCACGTTATGGAGGCAGTAATTCAAAATGACCCGCGACATACATTTTTAACATTTTTCCGCGGCCCCCAGTTTGGACGCCAGCCCCCGCTCACCCTGGCAGAGTCACCGCAATGCTTTATGCAACACAACTGCAGCAGCTGGACGTCGAAAGAGAGCAAACTGATTCAAAATGCACTCACATCCGCCGTCAAAAAAGGCTATGATTGGACACGCTGCTGGATGATCGTTTCCAAGTATGTAGCCTGTAATTTTCCATGTGAGTGCAAATGCTTTTTACAAGGCTGATCTTGTTGACAGTTGACAGTGCCCTTTTTATTCTCCAACTCCATTTTGGCAACAGTTCCTTTTGGAAAACGATGAATGTAAAACCGCTGTGTATCCCTTGATCTAGTCATTGCTTATTCAACTGTGGACCATTTTGACGGAATCACTTGCTGTTGGGGAAAGTGCATTTAGAATTTTTTGAGGTGTAAAGTATGTAGTGCGAGGAAAAATCTTAAAAATAGACGGCAACATCTCAGAGAATTTCTGTTACTACGAGATTATTAGTTACTTGTGGATTCATTTGCTTGTTTTTATTGTATGCATTTATCACATCATCTATATTACTTCTTATCATTTGCAAAATGCACATTTATGAATGCAATCAGTGAAGTATTCAGATAAAGAAAATGTATTTCTCTGTAAAAGAAATAATTTTACATTGATTCATTTGATTTTGAAAACAAGTAGAAACTGTAGATCTCATAAAAGATGTTTTCATATCTTAAGATTCAAACTGTTCAATTGATAAGAGATTTGTTAATGTGACTTTGAAAAGCGTGTCTGTGCTCCTGAGTGTGTGTTTTATTATTTGCACGTCTTGCGTCATTAAAATCATGTGCATGAATCATGATTTACAAGTTTACTTTCTTTGCCTGCATTGTTTCTAAAATGTGTATCTGTGTTCCTCTTTTTGAATCAGACGTTTTCATCCTGAGCAAAAAACCAGAAGGCAAAATGATCTTCAGACGTTTGATCTCCTCCTTTGCATGAACAGAGCAGCATCATATCTGTTTTAAAAATAATCAAGTTTGTGAAGAGTCAGGTTTAGTCTGAGCTTGTGGAACAAGCCACTTCTTCCCAAAGTTAATCCAGTGTTCAAATAATCCCAAATGGTTTTGTAATTTATTTAAAAAATGGCAATGCAGTCATTTTCTCTATAGCTTCCTCTAAATTAGAATATCAGAATTTAAAGAAGAAACATAAAAAACACACCCTAAAATATATCTAAAATGATTGTGTCTCCACCTTTTAGACTTTTTTCATTTATATCATTGTTCTTTGATACAGCTGTTTGAGAACCTCCAACTTCTAACCTTTTGGGGCTTTCTCTCTGGAGGATGTCAATGATTCATATTTTTTGCGTCAGGTCAGCAGTCTTCCCCATGATGGTTAATTCATGGTTAAATCACCTGAGCCAAATGCATAATGAAAGAATATTATAAAATTGTTAGAACTATGCTCTCTTTAACTACTGTCCACTGTCTGAACTGAAAATGTAAATTTTAATATAATCATTATTATATTTTACCATATCAATTCAGAACTAGATCATATAGATAACATTGGTAACTATACAGTACAGTTTTGTGTACAGTATTTTTTGGATTATAAATCACAGTTTTGGTCATAGTTTGGCCGAGGGAGCGTGGAAGTGTGAAATATTGAAATGTAATATTTTAAATGTTATATTCCATTTACCATAACAAATCGAATAATAGCCGGGGATATTAAGTTGAGCGATTAAGTTATTAAAAATGCCACTTATCCTCTAGTGCGACTTATATATGTTTTTTTCCTTCTTTCTTATGCATTTTTGGCCGGTGCGATTTACAATCTGAAAAATATATACCTGTATGTAAAACGGTAAATCACCTTAATGTATATAGCCCATTTCACAGACTAAGGAGCTTTTGGTCTTGGGTTTGAATACCAGGCGGAACAGGGCCTTTCTGAGTGGAGTTTGCATGTTCTCCCTGTGTCTGCGTAGGTTTCCTCCAGGTGCTCCGGTTTCCCCTACAACTAAAAACATGTACAATAGGTCTGGCATGCGCCTCCTGTACTGCCAACCCCGCTCTGTGTGGAGAGAGAGGACAAATGCCCACAACTGTAATTAATGTCTTTCACAAACATGCTCCACGCACTTTCCCCACCAAAGGTTTCTGCATGGCCCCGACTTCACTTCATAATAATTACTATAGAAACAGAGAGTATTTATGAACAAAACAACATCATGGTTCACTCTCCGGCTCTTCCCCCCCCACCTCCCGGCTCTCCCGGCTTCTCTTGGGAGGATAGGTGCGGTTTAGTGAAGCGTTCCCATCTTTCCATTGGGAGGCAGTAGTGGAAAACCAGTCAAAAAAACAAGGAGGTGCTCACTGCGACACAGTTAAGTCGACTACACGCTCTCTGAACCGCACGAGCCCCCCCCAAAGACTACTACATCAAATAGTTTGCTGTTCAAGGAATTTATTCATAACTTCATAATGTGCCAGATATCCCCCGCGTGTCTTCCTCCAGAGATAAGCTGTGCTGGAAAAACAAGTCCACACATCCAAAGTGACAAAAAGGTATTTAAATGACTTTGTTGCTGTCCTATGCATTAATAAAAGGACACAAATATACAGTATAGTATATAAAAAATCACTTTTGTTGGCCAGGATATTGCAATCAGGAGGGATCTGCTCATTCATCACCTGGTTCTTACTTAATGAACACTCCCGCTCAGCTCCCCTCACTTTGGCACAGGTGGAGGAGCCAGCCAGCCAGCCAGTCTCCGTTTCCCATGAGCCTCTCTGTTACTGTACACCAGAGGGAGCGCAGTTCGGAGCTGTCCGTGGTGGTTCTTGCGAGGTGCATTGCCATCTGCTCGCTCGACATTGCGTGGCATTGCGATGATGCTGCAGATGTGGAGAAGGCTGTTGGCTCCATGCGGTGTTGGCTCTCTGAGAGTTCACACACAGGCAGATGTTGGATAATGTCGGATGATACGCATGTACGCTCTGAAGACATTTCTCCAGCTCTGGATTATTCTTCAGGTGAAAGCTCGGAGTCATTATGTGTTTCTCCCTCTGCTTCCTGTGATTTATCGGTAAATACTGGGGGTTGTTGCTGAATCTGCAAATGTACCATGCAGCAGCGACCGATCTTCATAACAGCGTGTTGTTTTGTGTTTCCAATTGGGAACACAAGAGCTGCAGAAATAAAAGTGAAGTGGATGACGACATATTCGACCTGGCCCTCAAACGTGCATTAGTACTTCTTTATAACAGTGGCACAAGGGGCAGAGGAGGTTTGTGACCATGACCTCCTTCTTATGCAAACAAAATAATATTATTTCTTTTCCCAATGGAGTCTAGCAAAAAGGATGTACTTCAAGACTACTCATAATAACAATATAAATAATAGTAATAATATATTGGTTAGATATAGCACATTTCTGGATTTTCAAGGGTGATAATATTCATTCACTCAATACACAGTGGTGGTAAACTAGTCACAGCTGCCCCGGGAGACAAGGCAACAAATTTCAGTTTGATGCATACACATATACATACACATCATATAATAATTAAGTAAGTAATGTTTATTTATATACCACCTTTCACAGACCAGAGTCTCAAAGCGGTTTACAATTGTTATTTTTTGGGCATTTGTCTCTCACTCCACACAGAGATGGGAGTGGGGTCGCCAGAACAGGAGGCGCATGCCAGAACTATTGTACATATTTTTAGTGGTAGGAAACCGGAGTACCCGAAGGAAACCTACGCAGACACGGGGAGAACCACCGTCCCGCCCATATAATACACAGCGAACATGACTTCCGCGCTCCTTTTGGGCAAAGTGGGTTAACGACAGCAGACATCAGTGGAAGTCGGTGGAGAAGGTCTCGCTGTGGGCTCGAACCCTCGACCTTTGGGCTCCAAGGCCAATGCTCTACCAACTGAGCCACTGTCGCCCCTGAAGTAATTTAGTCCATTGACATTTCGGTACCTGATCACAAGCTTCCAATAGTCTTGAAATTGGAAGTATAGGGATTTTCTTTTCATTTGTTCCTCTGCGACGCTGCCAAATCACCCATTTTAGAATTAACTACAGTATAAAACCAGAACAAACTCTGTCAAGAGTAAGTGAGTATTTATTTATATGGAGCATTTTATTTCCAGACCAAGGTCACCCAAAGCATTCAGAGTTCAGATATTGTTCCATTCTCTCCACACGGTGATGACGGGAGCGAGACGCAAATCCACTGAACCATCAAAGCCCCAAACCAACACCCAAACATTCATACCTACTGTGTATGATGTTTTAGTGGCAGGGGAAACTGGAGGACCCGGAGGAAAACTACACAGACACTGGGAGACTCCACTCAGAAAGGCCCTGGTCTGTCTGGGATTTGAACCCAGGACAAAAAAACGAACAAAGTAAAACAGTGGATTGTAGTGGTAAAAATATAATTGCATGAAACACTTGAAAACAGCTTTGAGTCGATAAATGAGAAGTAAGACAAAAACAACCTTGTGTTATTGTGATGATTTATCCCCAGCTCATCCACAGAGGGACAGTGTCACACCTTCAGGTCTGTACCTGGCGTCTCGCTCATGCTTGAGGCCTGGGGCATAAATAGAAACTATGATACGGCGCCTGCTGTGATCAATACCTTGTAAACAAAGGATGGATTGTGAACAGTTAAAGCCATAAAACAAAAGCCTGCGTGTATCGACACGGTCATCTGTACCACTCTCCCCATCCTTTTCTGCTTTCTGTCTGAACTAGATTGTGGGTATGTATTCTTTCATGATGACTGAACATTTGACTTTATATCATTTAGGGCCTCATTTATCAAAAGTGTGCTTGTAAAAGTGCACTAATTTCATTTATCTCACAGCCAAAGTTAATAATGATGAATAATAATAATGCATTGTTTTATACAGTGTTTTTTAGGACACTCAAATATGCCTCGCAGGTCATTATTCTTTCACTCTATACACTGGAAATAAACTACTACTGTAGCCGCAGCTGCCCAGGGGCACACTGACAGAAGCGAGGCAACCAGTCTGTGCCATCGGCCGCTCCAACCACCACGAAAAAATTTACACCATTCACGCCTAAGGATACGATGACGTTTGGCACTTTACAGCTGCCCCACTGTGGCACCTGGTGTTCCCACAGGTCTCCCATCACTGCTCTAACCAGGCCCTGTCCAGCCTATAGCTCCAGAAGCATGACAGGATCTGACGTTCACAGACAAGTATGGCCCCAATTAGGAATCTGTGACATTAAAGTGATGCAGAACTGATCCAAAAAAATCCCTAAATGCTCAAGCTCTCAGGTTGACCACAACACTGCAGTAAGGTGGTAAAAGGAGGGAACATTTAATACCAGTGTTAAAGTTACTCCACTTCCTTTGACGTACAGATTAAAAATGCACAGCGCAGCGGTTTTTCTTTTCTCATACTTTGTTAGCATTTTTCAAAAAGTTAGCATTCCTCCAGTGGAAATTCGCCTGATCCGCTTGTTTCGGACCATGAATCCTCTTCGCTCTGGTCTGGACCAGTGCAAAACCATGAACACTGTACTGCAGCAACATCTCAGGTATAAAATCAAAACAAAAAAACAAACAAATGAAAAGCACAAAACAAATTGTTTCAGAGCAACTTGCTGCCTTTTGATTTTTACATTTCAGAGAATATGTCGTGCGGTAAAATGAAGGAAGGACCTAATGAGCAGGAATGCAAAAATAATGTTTTATGAAGACAATGAAATTAAAGTCCAGGAAAAAATGAAATGCCGGAAAACGCCAGACGAGGATGAACAGAAAAAGAAATTGGACCAGCAACACATGAGGGAGAGCACAGGTTCATATAGTCCAAGCATCTGAGATCCAAGATGGCGGCCTTTTCAAATCAATGGCTTGTGCTCAGTAGCGCATGAGACATACACAGGGACTGACCAGCGGAACTCACTCTCATGCACAGAGGGGCTCGGCCACGCTCAGACCAGTCAGAGTTGCTGTACAGAGTGTTAGAGCAGGAGCCAAACCAGCAGAGTTTGTTGCTTTAAAGTGTGGATTTATAAAAAAACCAAATGATTTAAAATGAAGAAAAAAAAATCAGGATGACAAAAGGGCGCTACAATCCGCACAGAATCTGACCTTTATGAAAGCTGTAGGTTCTCTGTCAGCTGAGACCGAGTTGTTTTTGTTCAGAGTTCTATGGGATATTTTTCTGGATAGCCAGCGTGAATTTAGTCTGCAGTACCGTGGGCGCCCCCTGTGCCCGTGTGTAGGACAGCCATAAGCCCGTAATACACTATCCAGTTATTATAATAGATCCATGATAGAGACAGAGGCAGGTGAAACACATGAGGGTGTGACAGACAATGAAACAGGGGAACAGGACAGGAAGTTGAACTGAAATGAAACCACAGAGAACTAATTTCAAAATAAAACTCACAAATAATCCAATATTTATTGAATTACATGTATATACATGGATAGGGGACAGTTTGGGAAGATAACAGATTAAACAAAAATCAGAATAAACTCGTTGGCATATGATATTAACCATTTGGTGCCAGAGATGTGACAAATAACAGGTGGAGCCTTGAAACCTTACAAGAGATAGATGACTGCTAAAATCAATCACATCAATAAATAGAGCAAAGAAGGGTTGCTCACCCATTATCTGTACTTCCCGACGTCTTCTGGTTTTCCCGACGTTTCGTTCTTACCCAAATAAAATGTTCAAGGGACTGACAAACAAACAAGCTTATCAATATAAAGAAATATTTTAGTATTTTCCCAGTTAGCCAGGTCACTGAATAGAAAGAGTTGATTCAGGAGCTTGTGCATCAACTGAAAAACTGAAAGACATAATCATTTCAGTTATTTACATGATCTTACCAACAATACAATGTCCATCCATCCATCCATCCATCTTCTTCCCCTTCAGCCATTTCTGGGTCGGGGGGGTGGCAGTCAGAGCTGCACCCAATTCACTTAGCACCAGCCCCTCACTGATCCTCTGCAGGTGGTGAGTCCACAGGAGGACGGCTGCTCTGTCAGTGACAATACAGCCTTGATTTTTCAGCGGGGGCTTCAGGCAATGCAGGGTTAAGTGTCTTGCCCAAGGACACAACGACAGCAGTCATCAGTGGGAGTCGGTGGAGAAGGTCCCATGGTGGGCTTGAACCCACAACCTTCAGGCTCAAAGGCCAGTGCTCTACCAACTGAGCTACTGTCGCCCCACAATACAATGTCTATAATGTTAATTTTTGCTCAGTGTATTTAGCACTTCCAGAGAATGCTTTTCTCTTCACTAATTCCTGTTGCTGTGCAGTGTCATAAAAGACCAGAGATGTGATGAGAGTGATACTTATTGATTTTTAATAAGAGACATCTGCAGCTTTTAAGATATTGCTTTTACAATTAGAAGTAGAGCAGCCATTAGACTAAGTGTGCTTTACACATACTTTCATCATTTTGGTTTTTGAAGCTCATGAAGTAAACTGTGTGAGAGACTATGAGCCACTATGCTGTTTTACTACCAATGAAAATATATAATTGTAGTATAAAACTGTTAAATACCCAACTAAGATTGGGAAAAAGAAAATACTGATATACAACTATAAGTGACTCTCTGGACTTGATTCTAATTTGGCTTCTACAAGAAGTAAAATCAGCACTGAATATATTAATAATCAGAACTGGTTTTCAATTACTATGATTATATTCTCTTGTATATCAATCAATACAATTTAATAAAATCATATTAAGCATAATGGGCGGCACAGTGGCTGAGTGGATAGCACTCTCGCCTCTCAGCAAGAAGGTCCTGGGTTCGAATCCCGGCCGGACCAGGGCCTTTCTGAGTGGAGTTTGCATGTTCTCCCCGTGTCTGCGTAGGTTTCCTCCGGGTACTCCGGTTTCCCCTACCACTAAAAATATGTACAATAGGTCTGGCATGCGCCTCCTCCCATCTCTGTGTGGAGTGAGAGGACAAGTGCCCAAAAAATAACAATTGTAAACCGCTTTGTGACTCTGGTCTGTGAAAGGCGGTATATAAATAAATACTTACTTACTAATTCATACAGTGTAACCCAAAGTGCTACACCGTTGGGTTTGTTTTTTGTGCTCTGCCTCCCCGATCTCTTACTGTTCTTTCAGGATCATAGACTATTTATTAACAGATGTAGTCACGCCTTTCACCACCGTTTACACTGATGTTCCACCACCTTTGCCTTCTGTGGGCTTTTTCAAAATGGCTGCAGGGCAGGAAAATGTGAAAAAACGCCGGCATTAGCCCGGCTAACTAGTGCATTCACAGCATCCACAGCGGCTAAAAAAATTATTCCCCTCAGCATTGTCAGCATCTGGAACGTAGCGTTGGACCAAGAGCGACTTTCGGAGGCAAGGCGGCATTGGGTAATTCTCTTTCCGGGTAAACCCCCACCGGCCCGGATTGAGATTGCAGAATTTTCCACATCCTCATCTCTCTGGCGCTAAGTTTCTGGTCTGGACATCACTTCTCTGCCAGATCTATGGCTAAAGTCAGTGTAAGTATTTGTCCATCTTGTTTTTTTTTTTATTTTTTACTTACCGCTTTTTGTGTCCTGTGTTCAGTTCTGTTTCCATCCACCCAGCCAGCCATCTCCGTGACTCCACTGCCTACTTTATGTTTTAGTTTTTAAGTAAATTCATATTGAAATCAAGCTGTCTCTGTCTCTGCTGCTTTGGGGTCCAACACACTACCATAAAATTCACAAGCAATTATCATTAGACATTTATGCATAAAAAACAACGCAAATACATATGTAACAAACTGTATTAAAATTATGTAAAAAGGATAAAAGTTAAAACAATTAAAAGATTGTTTGAAATTAGTCATGTGCAGAGAAGCTAAATATTCAAAATAAGACAATTTTCAGCCTGGCCTTAAACATTTCCAGGGATGAGGTCTCTCTCACAAACCCGGGGAGACTGCTCCAGATTCTGGCTGCATAAATCTGAAATGCTGCCTCCTCGTGTTTAGTCCTGACTCTGGGCACCAGCAGGAGGCCCGTCCCTGTGCTCCTCAGAGTCCGAGTTGGTTCATTTGGCACTAACATGTCTCGGATGTACTCTGGAGTGAGGCCATGTAGAGACTTACACACAAGCACATAGATAAATACAATAGATGTGTACTTCATTGATCCACGTAGCAGAAATAAATACATCAGTTTAAAGCAAGGAAGGTGAGTGCTGCAGTGGGTACGAATAGTAGAAGGCTTAAACAAACAAGTGCTCTTAAAAGACAGGGCAATCTAAGCAGAATTAGGATGTCAAAAAGAAAAAAGGCACTCTGTTGAAGTGAAAAAAATAATACAATTTTCAATAATACAAATGAATACATAATTCTAAAAGTAGCTACTGTAACAGTAGTATTAAATGCAACAGTACTTTAGGTCACAGCAGCAGAGGTGGACTAGCAGCTTGGTTCGGATCTTTTTCTCTGCTCTGGTCCAGAGTAAAATGCTGAATGCTTTGTTAGCATTTTTCAAAAAATTGTATTTCTCCAGTGGATCTCTGCTTGATCCCCTTGCTTTGGACCACGAATCTTCTCT